CGCCGATGTATATCTTTTTGCAATAAGTGCAAGTTATGCAATAGATTACATTGGCAGAGGTGCTCGTGAAGTGATCGGTGATCTTAATAGATCGTTTGGGTCCCAATATTTTATCAGTGTTGAGAATGAAAGGACATGTTTTGCATCGTGCACAAGCGCATTTAAAAGTGCCTGGTTGGTCATTAGTCTGAAAAGAACCACTGACAAGAAAATTGCCAATGTTTTTGTCGCGTTTGAATGAATTGAGCGGAGGCTGCGAGAAGACAGCCAACACGCTCTTCAAATTTTTCGCAACTTTAATTTCCTTGGTCAAAACAAACTTCTTTTCACCAGTCTCTTTACACTGTTATTCCTAATGGCAAAGGCCTTCTGGCCCTTAAACATTTTTTTGATCAACATACTGTTAAGGAACCTAAATCTGAAACACTGCTATGCTTAGCCGAACTAGTGCTCTCACTCAATTGTTTTTCATTCGGGGACAACTTTTTCAAACAAACCAATGATGTAGCCATGGGCACCAAAATGGGACCAAGCTATGCCAATCTTTTTGTAGGTTTTGTCGAACACCAATTTTTCAGCCAATACAACGGCTCCAAACCTGAACTCTACAGTCGGTACATCGACGACTGTATTGGCGTGGCAGGTACAAAAAGCAGGTCACAGGTCACTCCGCCATGATTCTCACGCGCACAAGGGAATTCCCTGTTCCAGGCTTCTCTCACAGACTCGTTCAAAGCCCCTATAGCTTGAAGAAAAGTTTATTTCTGTCTGCACATTAAAAAGAAGTCTTCAAGCTTGTGAACAGAGGAAACAACACCAGTACACCCAACAGAATGTTGAACTAGTGACATTTTATTGTTCTATTCTTACATGAAAATTGGAACGCATGTATATTATATGTTCATTTCTGACAACCGGAAATGGAACACTATAATGCAACGCCTTTACTCTATCCAGGGTACAACTCTTTAATTGTGACCTGTTAATTGTGACCTGTGACCTGCTTTTTGTACCTCCCGGTATCGGCACCACCTCCTCTACCAGAGAGGAACTGACTCAATTCATAACTGCAGTCAATTTTTTACACCCAGCTCTGAAATATATCTGGGAAATTTCTGACAATTCTTTATCCTTTTTAGACATCAAAGTTTCAATTGAAGGCAACAGTTTAAGCACTAGTGTACAAACCTACAGACTCGCATAATTACTTGCTGTATTCGTCTTCGCATCCATCTCACGTTAAGAACTCCATTCCCTTTACTCAGTTTCTGAGACTTCGTCGTTTATGACTCTGATTTCCACCAAAAATCAGAGTCAATGTGCCAGTTTTTCGATAAACTTGGTTACCCTGATTCTGTCGTTCAAGCGGGTTACCAC